TCCCTAAGCCGGTCTAGGCAGGCCATGGCCTCCTCGGCTGAGGCAGCTTTCTTCTCAGCCTCCCGTAGGCGAGCAATCTCCTTCTCTTGCCTTTTGTGGCTCTCCATCAGCATGAGAGCGCCCTACAACAAAACAAAAAAGGAAATGAGAAAATGAGGACGATGCAAAACCCATGGCATAAAAAACGTAAAGTATGAGGAACTTACTTGGACGATGAGGTCCATGCCGCCATCGTAAATCCTGACGGCACCCAGCTTCTTCAGATAAGCTCGATCCTCAACCGGGACAGCCTGGGCCAGGACTTCATGGCCGTCAACGGCGTCATTGAAGACGCCACCCTTCACGGGATACTCGATCTCGAGCTTGTAGATCCCGCCGGCTAACTCCTTGCCGGCCCTTTGCTTCTGGGGTTCCTGGCCGGTAGGCGGCGGCTGAGATAGCATCGCCGAGGAAGGAACCGAAACCGCGCCCACAACGGCAACGGCGCTAGAACCCCCGGCATCGTCATCCGGCATGGCCACGCCCTCGGCACCAGCATCGGCCGAAGGGGAAGCCCTCCTCGACTTCTTGGCCTGCATACCGACCTCAGTAAGCTTTTTCTAGCCATCATCAGCAGGCCGCTTCTTCTTCGGCTGAGTTGGCGGTTTCTTCGCCGCATCAACATTGGATGTAACGCCGCTCGCAGCGGCCACCCTGCGGCCTCCTTGGCGGCCATTTCCTCTTTTGCCTTAGCTTTTGCTAAGGCCATGACGGATCTGCGATCCATAGCAAAGTCTGCACAAGGAAAACAAACAGTTAGCAAAACATAAAAGAAAACATAGACGAAGACGCCAGAGAAGGTATTACCATCGGCATCAGCAGGAATGCCCATATCCGGGCTGTCGGCCTCCTCAAAGGTCGTGGTCATCTTCGGCCATAACTCAAGATCACCTTCCTTGTCACCATAAACATGGTACCTCATGAAGCCGAGGGCGGTCATTTTATACTCCGTGATGTAATGTTTCACGCTCCTCGGCCCACCCTTCAGAAAAGCAGCCACCTGGGCATCCAGAATACTGCTCTTCGGCACGTCATGTAGAGTGAACTTACCGTCATGACCAACCGAAGGAAACTCCGTGCCGTCCTCACCCAAGGACACGAAGACGAACTTGCTCTGCCATCCGTGAATATACGAAGGGAGATCAGTGAAACTCCTCTTCTTCGGCAGCTGCTGGAGATTGGCGTAGCCAACACAGTTCTTGTGGCTCCCTCGGCCAATCTGGTACAGGTTCATAAATAGTGTCGTCGTCGGCCTAAAATCAAGCTCATCGCAGCAGAGAAGAAAGCCGACGATGAGCGAATAACTATTGGGAGTCAGCAAGGCCGGAGGGAGCCCCACCATATCCAGATATTCCGTGATGAAGGGGTGAAGGGGAAATCTAAGTCCCTTTGCGAAACTCATGGGGTATACTCCAAAATACCCCGGAGGTGGATTCAACACGTGGTCCGTCGGCTTGGGCGCCCTAACCCGCCCATACGGCCCCACATACATCTGGGCCACCAGGTAGTCGGCCGCACTACTCTCCGGCTTAATCAGATAAAGATTACTGAGATCGAGGTAAGAGAAACCTGGACCCCTCTTCGGCCGCCGCCTTCTTATCAGAGCAGCTCCCTTCACAGCAGAAACCGGCTTCGGGCAGGGGATCGCAGCCGATGTAGACGCTCCGTCCACAGCACGTGAAGCCCCTATTTCTTCACCATCAGACGAGGAGGCAGCCTCTTCGTCCTCACCCTCACCCTCCCCGGACTTGAAGGAGCTCAACTCCTCTATCTCCTCACAACACTCCTCGACTACCCGGTAATCAAGAGACCTAGCAGAGGGCTCATCGTCGTACAGGTAGTACTCATCGTCCAAAGGCTTCATTATAACAGTTAACTAGAGCCTAGATGTTTCTACTTTGGATCTAAACATCTATCTCCACTAACAAGGGATAAATGGCCTAGGAAGCGAAATAGGTAAATTACAGAGGGAAGTTTCGATGAACTAACCTTTGAAGCTTGATGAACACGAAGAACACTAGCAAGAACTTTATCTCTCTAGAAAATTCAGGAGCACTTCGTTATCTCAGGAATGCAATGAAGAAACCTCTTCAGAGGGGGGGGGGGGGGGTATTTATAGGCCTCCCCCCCAACGGTCACTACACGTGGCAACTTCCCATTGGCCACATGAGCGGCCACTACCCTCAAAGCCCATTGGGCTGGGCACCGGTTCAGAAGTCGGGTCAGGCCCACTTCCACAACACCATCTCACCACTAACGAGCCAACCACTCAACGGCCACACTAATAAAGCGTGCCCGTATCGGCCTCAACACAGAGATGCTTCAAATGGATAGATCACATTTCAAGGCAAGTCGACATCGGCTTGAACATAATACCAATCGCATGGCTTTCTTAACGGCCACACCAGTATAACCACCAAGAAAACCCCACGCCATCGGCCCTGTATAAAACCCTGATGATAATTTCTTGAAAGCGACCTGCGTCCAAGGATTCTCCCACAGGGTTACCTTGACCAGGAAATCGCCAAGGAATTGGATTCAGGTGTATACAAGAGTCCGCTTCGGCCTGGGTACCTCCTTTACTCCTTCACCCCTCACCTACTCTTCGGCCTGAAGCAGTGGGGGACTGGGGGACTACACCGGCCTTTGCAAACCAGGAAAAAATCAAAGAAATCCAAAAATATACTAAGTCCACAACTACAACATTAGACATGCATCACAACGTCCATAACATCGTGGTGCACCATCGGCCGCAGCAAAGCTAGCAAACAAAGAATTCCCTCCCAGATCACTGATCAGTGCCGTCATCGTCCTCAAAAGCGTGAACACCAGACTACGGACAACATCGCTTCGGCCAAAAAACACAGAACACGGCCAACGGCCAAGAAGCAAACCGCACCCTCATCGGCTACCTGGGAACAAAAGAATACTCATCATCCTCGAACATGAGACAACCACAAGGGCCTCCTCGGCCCCAAAGAGCCCAGAGCAGCCACCAACTGTCATGAGTGGGCACAACCATTCATCAGCCGTTCGTGACAAATGGCGCTCATCCGTCCCACCAAGCAAGGACGCTCATCGTCCAATCAAATGACAGCCCCAATGGCCTCCTCCGCCAACAATACAAACTTTGAACTAACGGTCAGAAGGAGTGAACATCACCCTTAACGGACACTCAAGATGAGGGAGGCTCGTCGTCTTCAAGAAAGAACGCAACCGCAGTGGCCTCCTCGGCCCAAAAACGAAATCCAGCCACCGAAGATCGTGAGAAGAAAAGAATGTCTTCATCGGCTCCCATGACTGGAACGCTCATCGTCCACGTCAAGGGGAAGGTAACGACCAAACTCAGAACAGTGCCACCAAACGCCAAGACAGGGAACGACCAACGTGGTCCCGCATCGGCCAAGAGCATCAAGCACAAAAATCTACTCTCCTTCACTTCGTCTACATCTCAGCTTAGAGAGTGGGGGACTCCTGATGGAGTATATGGGTCTAGGCCCCAGGACCCACATACTCAGAAGAACATAAAGCACAAGCCACTACGCGGCGCCCTCGTCGGCCAAAGGACCCTCGTCGGCCGAAGAGGGACCGACTCAGAATATGCCCCTGAAGCCAGGGAACCAGGGTGTCCTCATCGGCCGTGCCCTCATCGGCCAGACCCTCGTCGGCCACGGAGGACTCGCAGAACTAGATTTTACACTTATTCATTTATATAGCCCATCAGTTACTTTGTATTCGGCCCAATAGCGGTCCAGTTGTAAATGGGCCTCCCAAGCCCAAGGCTTGGGAGCCCAGCCCGTATTTTTCCTATAAATACTTCCTCTAGAGGTAGTTATGGGGGTTACAAAATCATTCTATTGAAGCATTTACTTGCACTTCTCTCTCTAGCTCTCACTTCTCTCTAGAATATACTCTATCATAAATATATGTTCACTTTTTTATGTAGCATCTTTTACTGAATTCATAAAATTAATTAACTAATTTTACATTATGTAATTTATTCAAACTAAAATAAACAAAAAAAAATTGAAATCAAAGGCCCCAAACGGATATATAGTCGTTGGGACTTGAGCACTTTGGTTGTTTGAAATTTGAATCAATAGAGCCGTTGGGGGTGGGGGTGGGTGGTTGGGGGCACAAAAATTTCTATAAATACTCCTATTTTCTAACATTTTTATACACATCTTTTCCAATATCCAATCTCCATTCTCCATCTTCATTTCCATCTATTCTAGTATTTGTAGAATTATTATATCTACCATTTTAAGATGGAAAGTCAATATGCCGTTATACAGTATAATTTTGATACGCAGAAGGACCCGAGGACCGGGATGTGGTACACAACTTGCAAATGGTGCGGAAAAAAGTGTAGCATGAGGGTTTCACGTGGATACGGGATGACAAGGAAGCATATTAAGTCATGTGACAAAGCCAAAGGACCGAGAGGTCCGGGAAGTTCCGATTGATTACAAAATGTATTTCATATTGTATTTTTTTCTCAATTGTCAAATGTAGTTCCTATTTCATTTCAAATAAATGCACTTGAAGTTTGTTTTTAATACTTGTATAAAACTATAAAGTATAAATTATAAAAAAAATGGATTTAACCGGCCTGGCCCAGCCCGGCGGGTGGCCCGATCCGTGACCCGGCCCGAACCGGAACCGCCTATACCTCGGGCCGGTCCCGGGCCCACCATTCACAAGCCGGCGACCCGACCGGGCCTAGGCCCGGCCCGAGCCCGACCCGGCCCGAATCCATGCCTAGTTTCTAGTAATAATTAATATTATAGCGTTAACTAATCATCATGTGGAAACACGACAACACCTCAACATTAATATAAAGATGAAGAAAAAATAATATTCAAGAAGAGAAGTTTAAAAAACTCACAATTTTATCATTCAATAAGTTTCAAGATAGCAAAATCAAGATAGCAAAGTTTAGCTCCTCATTGGAGTCTAAGCACACAAGAAAATGTAAGAATAATACTAATCTAAACTAAGCTTAACGATATGGGATAAATGGATATCAAATATGGGAAGGAAAGAGGAACTTTTATAGGGATGTCCTTGGCAGTAGTTATTTCATTATTTACATTCAGATAAGATTTACTTTCATCGTGAAATTTGAATATAATTAGCAGATATTACATGTCCATTCGAGTGAAGAAAATTGAGCACCCCATATTGTGTTAGATCTGTCCTTTTTTATTTGAATCAGCTCCTCATAGATGCACCATGGGAAGCTAATAAAATGCTCACGTCTCATTTCCTCCTCTTCATAGCAACCCCAATAAGTGTGGTGATAAGTGACATGATACCAAGCCGAGGCTTTCGCCTTCAAATCATCTGAACATTCACTATTCCTCCCTTTCTCAAACCATGACCTCGCCTCCTTTCTCAATGACCTATAGGCTAAAATCACAGCCTCAAAATCTCTTCGACGATCAAACAACCTCGTGGTCGGATTGGTGATCCGACCACTTACCATTTCAGCTTCAGTTTTTATGTCGTAGTAATCCATTAGGCTACCGAGCTTGTAGTCATACAGTTTCTTGTGCTCAAAAGCTTCACAAATGTGATCCTCGAATCCATCGACTTGCATGTCCATATCGTATAATTTCTTAGCTCTTTCCTTCGTGAAAGGATCGGCAGAACTCCGGGGTGTGGATTTGACTTGCCGAAAAAGCTTGCCGATGATTCGGGTTGATTTGTAGGCAGGTTTGTCGAGCTTCTGCATGAAGTCAGGGTACTTTTTAATGCGGAGGTTCGGCGGCATCTCGGCGGGGACTCCGGTCTTTGGGAAGTCAACTGCAATGGAGAAGAGGTGGGCAAGTTGCATGCATGGCTCACTCATTGCCATGTTTGGTTCTCTATCAGCAACCACGACATGGGCATTTGAGATCATGCCTAAACTATCATTCATAATGTACTCTACGAAGTACTTCCGAATATCCTGTTACAAGACAATAAAGAGGATCATTTTTTATTTCTAAAAACAATATGAATATATGCACACACATGTAAGATTTAACACAGTTAGTGAGACCCCTCTGATGTTAACAATGCAATAACACAGACCTCTACAAGTTTGACTAGAAATAAACCATAGATCTCTAGGTCTAAACACGCTCAATCATATCCTCATTTTATGAACCTTTATGTTTATCTCTAATATTAATTATTTCATTAAATCTATTTGTCACCTAAATTTTGTCTTCAAACCGTAATTCACATTTTGAGTTAAAGATCATCAAATAGGCTATTTTCATTGGATGTTGTTTACACTTGATTCGATCTTTGTTTCCATAAGTTTTCTAACTCAATACTAAACCTTTTCAAAAGTTTACAAATGAAGAACTTGAATCCAACTAAAGATGTGTATGTTGCAAAGTGTTTTTTATTTGAATGGAAGAATAGGTAAACTAGACTATTTAATAATATTGGCGGGTGGCCATACACCTGGGATTATACAAAATAATCAATAATTGCAATTAATAAAACCGAATGGCTAATATTAGGATTATTATAATCAATTACTAGTATATTTTTGCTTATCTATCCACAATTAGCAAAAGCAAGCATTTATTTATACATACACGATCTTAACATAACAACAACAATGATTACCATAAGTCCATAACAATAATAAATTCATGCAATGGTACCTCAATGGTAACATCACATTCGAGTTGAGTGACAGGAGCAGGAGTATAATCCATTGGTGGTACCATGGATCTTGGAATAAGTTCTTGGTCCCAACAAACATAATAAAAATCTCCATCCAGATCACTTCCAGAACATTCATTTGGATGAGGCCTATCAGAAAGTCCAACATATAAAGAATATATGCTTTAATAGTGATAAACATCACGGAAAACATCAAGTCACAGTGTATATTTTTTATTATATCAATCCCAAGTGTATACTTGATGATACTTTAAGTTCAGATGCTACATTTTAGAATTAAAAAACAAAATGATTTAGTTTAAATTGGGGTCATATATTATAAAATTGCTAAATGTTAGTGTGCGTGAGCTCCAAACCATAATGTCATATCTGTAATTAAAATGTTATACGGAATAATATGCATGGAGGGATACAAAGTGAGTTCTATATGCGTAAGAATGGTCTTGGCATATGTGAAGGAATGTGACTGAAAAGATTACTTAGCGAGCTGGGAGTATTTAAAGAAGGGTCTATACAAATGCTTTGTGACAATCAGGCTGCTATTAGCATTGCCAAAAATCCTGTCCATCACGAAAAAATTAAGCATATTGATATAGACAAACGCTTCATCACTCAGAAAATAGAGAACTCCATTATTTAGACTTGTTATGTTCCATCAAACTTTCAAACTGCTGACATTCTTACAAAAGCTCTACCAAGAACCATTTTTGAAGAATTAATTAGCAAGCTTGGGATGTTTGACATTCACACCCCAGCTTGAGGAGGAATGTGGATTTATTTCTTGATTTAGAGAATAACTATTGTTGTACTTAAGATCTGATTTTGTATTAATTACCAGTATCATGCATTTTATTCTTTCTAGAAATAGGATATTCTATTATGGGAAAAAGACTTGAATAGGAGTAAAACAAGGCTTAGGAACGTAAATAAGAGTCCGAACTTTTTAAGACCTAAATAAGACTAATTTTTAACGGAAGGACAAAAACACCCCTAAAAATGATGCTGCCTTCAAATCTTACTTGCTGCCATTCTGCCATCATACGGAGCACAATATGCAAATCTTATGTTCTGGAGCACAATATGTGAAGGAGCGACGAAAGATCAAGCTGAGATCGGCAGAAGAAAAGAGCCGAGTTCGAAGAAAGAAAAGAAGAACGAGGCTCGTCGACTACTCCGGAAACCACCAGCGGCAGGCCACTCAGGTGGCGGGCTGCGGCACACCGGCAGTGAAAACCGCAATCTCTAGTGGGCACCGACAAGAAGAATTACTGCCGGTGTTCTCCAATGGCCTTCCTCTTCCATGAGAAGAATTACTCCAGGAGTATGTTTATGACTCCAATGGCAGCTGTTGAAGGAACATCAAAACATGTTAAAATGCTGAAATAATGACACTATGTATGTCACTATACTTTAAATATTATCAAAATAAAGTGAAAATCATCAGAATGTCTTAACAATGTCAATACTTAACAATGTCAATGTTGTAGCAATGTCAATGATAATGTCATAAGAATGTCAATGACAATGTCATAAGAATGTTAATAAAAAACAATGTCAATGACAATGTCATAAGAATGTTAATGACAATGTCATAAGAATGTCAATAACAATGTCATAAGAATGTCAATGACAATGTCATAAGAATGTCAATGACAATGTCATAAGAATGTCAATGACAATGTCATAATAATGTTAATGACAATGTCATAAGAATGTCATACAAATGTCAATGACAATAAAATACATTCCTTATTTCTTTGCTTTCAGTTTGTTCGTATGTACAGAGCACTATCAAATAGTTTGAAGTAGAAGAGGAGAAAAAGAAGAAGAAGAGGAGGGGGGGGGGGGGGGGGGGGGAGAATAAGAAGAAGGAGGAAGAGGAGGAGAGGAGAAGAGAGAACGCAGGTTACGCAGGAGGGCCTTCAGCCGCACCACCGCACCGTCGCACCTCCACACCGCCACACCAAAAATACTACCGCACCGCTGCAACACCATTTTAGCTCAGCACCTCCATTATTTTGACGGTGCTCTACCTTGCTTAGCTGTGGAGGAAGGAGAGAGACGATTAGGCGAGGCTATTGCCGAGAGATATGGTGCGTTAGGAAAAGGCCAGACGGGAAAACAGGGGCAATTTTGGAAACACGGAAAAATTTGATCTTATTTAGGAGTTAAAAAAGTCAAGGTCTTATTTAATTACATACAGGAAGTTAAGCTCCTATTTAGCACCATTTCTCTTCTATTATTTAGATTAGCAGATTGTATATTTAATGCCTTAGATTCTCTCCTCAATAGGCTGTATAAATATTCTATAGATTGTAATATATCACAAATATTCAGATTTTTTCACATATATTATAAAATTGCTTAATGATACTTTAAGTTCAGATGCTACATTTTATAATTAAAAAACAAAATGATTTAGTTTAAATTGGGGTCATATATTATAAAATTGCTAAATGTTAGTGTGCGTGAGCTAAAAACCATAATGTCATATCTGTAATTAAAATGTTATACGGAATAATAATATAATATGCATGAAGGGATACACAGTGAGTTCTATATGCGCAAGTCTCCGCCGTTGATATGTAAGATGATGCACTTCATACCACTACATGCATGTTGAACTTGAGATTTTGTATCTTTTATTTACTCACTATATTTTTAAATTCAGAAATTATTTATGCAATTCATTGTAGAAGATTACATGCTTAGATTCAGTTTTCATTTTCCATATGAACAGATTTTCACTACATCCTCTGCCACGCATGCGAGAGCACAAACACACAAAGGGTTCAGGGGAGGATCTACGTTAGGACTATGGTGGGGTGAAGGTTGAAGCCCAGTGCAACTTTTTTCCCCCCAGTTTTTTAGTGTAAAGTTTTCGTTTTTTCATGTTTAGCCCACTCCGCTAATGTTTAAGCTTGGTGTATTTCATTTTCAATGTAGTCCAAGTCCAACCCAAATTCCTGGATTCTTCCATTTAGAGGGGGAGACAGAGAGGTTAATACCTATCTCCTTGTTGGGGGAAGACTACGCAGTCCACCATATGGTGCAAAACAGGCACATCAATTGCTTGTAGTATACGAACATCACCGGGATGCAAGCACGGATTCTTTGCTACAACAACTTTTCCCACCAAAATGTTGCTATATTCATTGATTTGTGAATAACGTCCACGATCAACAATAGAAAACCTAATAAATACTTGACCATATTCAAGAGTCCTAGTCTCGTCCATGCATCCCATCATTGATCTACCATCGGGTATCAATATTCTTGTTCTTGTCCTCAAATCCTCAACCATTGATGCCTTTATTGTTTGCAACATCATTGAGAGAAATGGCTCAGTGTGAGGTTTATAACCGCAATTAAGCATCGCTATTAGAAGTTTGGTGTTTTCTCCTGATGGCATCAACTTTAGAATTTTTTGCGCCATGCTTGGATCCATGAGCATCTTGTCCATCAGACCAACTACTTTCTCCTGCTTCTTCTCAAACACCTCATCATGAATCCCGAGACTAGATAAAAGAGTAATAATTTGGCGATTCAGATAGCAGGGCTGGTATCTGCTCCAAGCTAGAATATCCAGCTTGATGTTCTCTGATTCAAACTTTAACATGCTCTTTCTCAAGGATAATTTCCATGAGGACGAAGGGTCAACAGACACAACTCCCTTAAATCCGCCGTACCGGATTTGGAAAGCAGAGGGATGTTTCATAAGGCCACATTTTATAGCAACCTATTACAAATTGGGCAATTCATGGGGAAGAGTGTTAGGAGTGGATAAGTGGATCTTACATTTAATGCTTAATTCATATGCTATGTGTCAAATTAGATCCATACACAACCTTTTGAGCAAAATCAGCTGAGATTTTCCCAATCCCGTCAGAAAATGTATAATTTTTTCCTTCCTTGTGTATCTCTATATCTGGAATTATTTGAATCTCATCTTTACCAACAACAAAAGTTTCTCTAGATGATCCAAAAGATTGACCAAGCCTGGCTGCATATTTGGCCACATTCTTAATCATTTTAAAATCTCCCATCCAAGATCTTATATCGGTAGCAGAAAGCCCAGGCCTAGATGCAAACATCCAGAGAGAACTTTCTCTCAACTGACTTGATGAGAATGCAAGAAACTCAAATGCTTTGTCCCCAATAACAATGCCGTTTTCGAGTATTTTCATTATCCTGTTAAAAATATCTGTCCTCACCACCACACCTTTAGTAGGTGGATATGGAGATAAATCTACTGAATGCATTCTCTCCCAATCCTCATCCATGAAAGACACACGAATAAAATTGTCAATATCCTCATAATAATAGCGTAATACCCGATTAGATAAAATTGCATCAGGCCCGCAGAAGTATACCCTCATCGGCGTAACAATAACTCTTCGTACATACATAAGGCCTTCATCCAGATTGATTACATTGGATTTGATCTTATGTTTAAACTTGCAGCTATATTGCTCAGTCAGCCACTTCACGGGATCATAGCAACACTCCTTTAATCTGTACATTTTCTCCAGTGCATATTCTATTAGACTGATATCCACTTTTCGTGGATCGACTAAGGACAAAAACTCATCATTTAGTGATGGCCCTGGAATGCATCCATGTTGAACCAAAGAGCAAATCTTGAAATGTAACTTGAATGGTAGCTCAAGTCCCAATGGAGGATGAAAAATTGGGGCAAGAACTGAATTAGAAGAAAATGAGGAACTGTAATCCATAGTGAAATGAGTTACAATTTGGTTATCATATGCAAAATCATCACACAGATTTGGTAATTCTATATCCAAATGAAGATTCATACACAAGGCAGAAGATTGGCCGATGATACAATTTTGTGTGAAATCTGTTGTTCTTACCCAACGATCATCAGGGGTTTCCTTAAAAAAGGTATAAATGGATTCTTCAGTGTTCTTGTAGATCCGTGGAGCAGAAAACATCTGTAACAAAGAGGTCATGTAAGTTAAGCATCAAGTATATATACATTTAGTTTGTCTAGTATTGTTTTCTTACACTTCAAAATGCCATTTGAAAAAGAGTTTTTTCCTAAAATATTACTACGTGCGTACTAATAAAAAATATATGGGCAAAAATGTAACTATAAATTACTATGAGTAAGTTTTATAATCACTAAGGTGTAACATTTGAGTACAATTATAGTCACTAAAGTTACTTGAGTCACATTTTTGTCCACAACTTTTATTTTGGCTGTATATTTGGAATTATTTCTTTAAAAAACTTAACGTTTATCTTTGAAAAAATGGAGATATCATTGAATATCAAGAGGACTATACACCCTCCAATTTTTCCATGATGCTCTAATGGTAATGGACTTCTAAGTGATGGTTATATCGGTAATTTCATGGAGTAAATCATGTTTGAACATGTGAAAGTATATTAGAATATACTTTAGAATATGCTTTAGAATATATTAGGAATATACCATAGATATTATTATTGTATAGAATCTTATATAGGTATATTCTATTTTTAATGTATATTTATAGGGACTTCCACAACTAATGAAATACAGAAAATCTTTCCTCCACTTTTCAATATAATTCTAGTTTATATTTCAACATGGTATCAGAGCCTTCCATTTCAGTTAAGTTTTTCTTTTCAGATTTCAGTTTAGTTTGTCATATCTCAATTTAGATTTCAGACTGTGTTCTTTCTCCAAGAAATTGATTTCAGTCCAGACTCTTCAGAACCTTCAGAAATCTATTTCAGTTTAGTTTTAGTTTAGTTTCAGTTTACTTTTTCAGATTTCAATTCAGTTTGCAACTCGGTTCAGAACATCTGTGCACCATTCTCTCCAAGAAACTCAATCCTGGACAGAACCTCTCTACACACCATCACCATTAACCAGACCCTCTATTGAGAACCTGAGTTCAAGCAAATTCAGAATATTGGTATCAAGCAAACTACCTCCATCTCTGCCAGGTCCGACCATTTTTCCGGCGAAATTCCGACTACACCATTCCTGCCGTTTCCGACCAGGTGTTGAAAGTACGCAGCTCCAATTCTCGCCTCTATTCTGGTGCGCTGCCATCGCTTCTACCCCAGGTATACTTCACTTCTCTTTCGTTCTTTCTCTAGAAAGGGAAGATAGCTGTGAGAGGAGGTTCGGTGGTTGGTCGATCGCTGGGTCTGGCATAAGAAGAGGCTCGCTGGGCATCGTCAGTTGAGCGAGAAGAGGCCCTTCGTTCTTTCGCCTCTATCCCAACCGCTACTTCACTATTGTTGTGTCGCATGTGTAGTCTGGGATCTGGCATGTGCATCAGATCTGCGCATCTGCTATGATGATAAGTTCAAGGCCCAGCAGTCAAAAGCCCAAACTGGATATTTTATTCTCCAACTTTAAATCCACACACGAGAAAGCTGCGGTGAGTCCAGTATTCACTTGATATTTCAAGTTTTATTTTATTTTATTTACCTTTTAACCTAATAAAAAAACAAAACAAAAAAGAAAAAAAAAAGAAAAAAAAAGAAAAAGAAAAAGAGAAAAAAAAGAATTGTCTTGTACGGATAAATTTGACAGAGGAGTAATATGCAATTCCTGTAAGAAGCCCGGACACTTGATCAAAGAATACAGAAAATTGTTGTTCAAAAATCAAGGAAATCGGCCTGCTCATGTTGCTTCCGCTACCATTTCATCTGATGGATCAATTGCTATTTCTTCAGACGAGTATGCTAAATTTATTTGTTATCAAGAATCTCTAAAGCATTCCTCTGTCCCTATCTCGGTAGTCGCAAATTCAGATATTTCAAACACATGTCTTGTTTCATCATCCTCAAAATGGGTCATTGACTCAGGTGCCACAGATCATATGACCGGTAATCCTAGTCTATTCTCATCATTTCACTCATATTTACCTACTTCTAGTGTCACTTTAGCCGACGGGTCTATCTCACCCGTTCTTGGATCTGGTACTGTTGTACCAACTTCTACATTACCATTATCGTCTGTTTTGAGTCTTCCTAATTTTGCATTTAATCTGCTTTCCACCAGTAAAATCACACGCACTCTGAATTGTTATGTAACATTTTTTCCTGGATATTGTGTGTTTCAGGATCTGTTAACGAAGCAGACTATTGGTAAAGGACATGAGTCAGCTGGTCTTTATATTTTGGATACATCAATCACAAAAGGTATCTCTTGTCTTGGGGTTGGAAGTCTGTTAGAAGCTCATTACCGATTAGGACATCCATCTCTCCCACTAATGAAGCAAATATATCCTCAGTTTAATAAAGTGTCATCTATACAATGTGAGTCGTGTGAGTTTGCAAAACATCATCGTACTAATTTAAGTCCTCGACTTAATAAACGAGCAAACGCTCCGTTTGATCTTGTTTATACTGATGTTTGGGGGGCATGTCCTGTTGTGTCCAAATCTGGTTTCAAATATTTTGTTACATTTGTTGACGATTATTCTCGTATGACATGGATATATTTTATGAAACGTCGATCAGAGTTATTTACACATTTTTCTGCATTTTGTGCTGAAATTAAAACTCAATTTAATGTTCCTGTTCGTGTGTTGAGGGGAGACGATGCCCAAGAATATCTCTCTGCTCCATTTAAATCTTTTATGCTTCAAAATGACATTATTCATCAAACTTCATGCGTAGACACACCTCCTCAAAATGGAGTCGCTGAAAGAAAGAATCGACATCTGTTAGAAACTGCAAGGGCTCTTTTATTCCAAATGAATGTGCCTAAACAGTTTTGGGCGGATGCCGTGTCTACCGCATGTTTTTTGATAAACCGTATGCCATCTTCTGTTTTAAACGGTAAAGCTCCTTATCACTGCTTATTTCCGAATAAAGAGCTCTTTCCTATCCAACCTAAAACATTTGGTTGCACTTGCTTTGTTAGAGACGTTAATCCTCATCTTACAAAGTTAGACCCCAAATCATTAAAATGTATTTTCTTGGGTTATTCTCGACTTCAGAAGGGGTATAGATGTTTTTGTCCAAGTACAGGTCGATATCTTGTTTCCATTGATGCATCGTTTCATGAAAATACACCTTTTTCATCATCGAAGACAGATATTCATGGGGACAATGATGAAATACTCATTTACTCTGTCACTATACCAGAATCTACACCTTCTGTAGCTATTCCGCATGTTACTGTTCCCGACCCCAGACCTCCAGTCCACTTGGTTTACACCCGTCAAAACAGAGGACCAGATCACCCTCCGCCTGTAACACCTGTGATAACTTATCCTGATATTGGTCCGTCCTTGATCTCATGTCCTGAATCGGTACATGCATCTTCAGATCTTGTCTCTACATTAGATCTTGACCTTCCGATTGCTCTACGTAAAGGTACACGATCTTGTACTCATCCCATTTCTTCATTTGTGTCGTATAGCCAGTTATCTCCTGCCTCATGTTCTTTTATTGCTTCCATTGATTCTGTCTCTATTCCCAAATCTGTTAAAGAAACTTTATCTCATCCTGAATGGCGTCATGCCATGGTAGAGGAAATGAATGCTTTAGATCTTAATGGTACTTGGGATTTGGTTGACTTGCCTACAGGGAAGAAATCTATCGGATGTAAGTGGGTCTTTGCTGTTAAGGTTAACCCAGACGGATCTATTGCTCGGTTGAAAGCTCGATTAGTTGCGAAGGGTTATGCTCAAACCTATGGTGTTGATTATTCTGACACTTTTTCTCCTGTTGCTAAATTAACATCTGTCAGGTTACTTATTTCTCTCGCTGCAACTCATGATTGGCACTTACATCAGTTGGACATTAAAAATGCATTCTTGCATGGTGACCTTCAGGAAGAAGTTTATATTGAGCAACCTCCGGGATTTGTTGCTCAGGGAGAGTATGAGAAAGTTTGTCGACTTCACAAGTCCCTTTATGGTTTGAAACAAAGTCCCCGTGCATGGTTTGGAAAGTTCAGTCAATCAATTGAACGATTTTGGCATGGTAAAAGGTCAATCAGACCACTCTGTCTTCTACAGACGAACGAAAGCAGGTATCACGTTGCTTGTGGTGTATGTCGATGATATTGTGATTACAGGGAGTGGTACTGCAGGTATTTTGGCTCTTAAGAATTTTCTTTATAGCCAATTCCAGACGAAAGATCTAGGCTCATTGAAATACTTTTTGGGTATTGAGGTAACACGGGGCAAGAAAGGCATATTTCTATCTCAACGCAAATATTTACTTGACTTGCTAGCTGAAACAGGGAAATTAGGGGCAAAGCCGAGCAATACTCCTATGATTCCTAATGTACAACTCACTCACGAAGGTGTGTCGTTCGAAGATCCAGAGAGATATAGAAGATTGGTTGTCAGTATATGTCATCTCCCACAGTTGATCACTGGAATGCTATTGAACATATATTATGTTACTTGAAGGGGACACCAGGACGAGGTATTGTTTATCAAAATCATGATCACGTGAGAATAGAATGCTTTGCCTGATTGGGCTGGATCTAAAGATGATAGAAGATCTGCATCTGACTATTGCGTCTTTGTTGGTGGTAATCTTGTCTCCTGGAAAAGTAAGAAGCAGAATGTGGTTTCTCGATCTAGTGCCGAATCAGAATATCGTGCAATGGCACAATCAGTATGTGAGATAATCTGGATAAATCATTTATTGAGTGAAATTGGATTGAAGACACCAATGTCTGCTAAACAGTGGTGTGATAATCAAGCTGCTATACACATTGCCAACAACCCAGTGTTTCATGAGAGAACAAAACATATTGAGGTCGATTGTCATTTTATTCGAGAGAAGATACAAAAAGAATTGATCTCTACAGGATATGTGAAGACTGGGGAACAACTTGGAGATTTGTTCACTAAAGCACTAAATGGAATTCGAGTTGATTATTTATGTAACAAGTTGGGCATGATAAATATCTATGCTCCAACTTGAGGGGGAGTGTGAAAGTATATTATAATATACTTTAGAATATGCTTTAGAATAAATTAGGAATATACCATAGATATTATTATTGTATAGAATCTTATATAGGTATATTCTATTTGTAATGTATATTTATAGGGACTTCCACAACTAATGAAATACAGAAAATCTTTCCTCCACTTTTCAATATTATTCTAGTTTATATTTCAACAGAACACATGTAATAGCATACATTATGTATGTTTACACAATCATTTTATATCATCAAATAATGTACATGAGATTTCTATTATGTTTGAAAATTCTTGAACGAAATGAAAAGTAAAATAACCATAAAAACATATAAAAAGATATACTTGAATTTTTATTGGTAGTGCTCAAAGATGTCGTGAATATACATACTATGACCAGATTTCTAAACTATACATGTAGTCGGTAGTACTACATGATGGTAAAATTTGGTCAATAACTTTAACTAATATATTTATGTGAAAATGTATTATCAATCAAAGTTTAGCATCATTAACTTGAAAAGTCAAAGAGTACTAACTAAAAGGTGTAGAAGCTAGGGAGTATCTTTTACCTTTCACCAATTTCTATTTAGTTATTCCAATATTATATTTTCTAAATATTTAAATCCTAATTACTATGACCAATAATATATGCCTTGTTAGGGAGAGAATTAATTTTTTTTTCATAATAATACGGAGTATAAATTAAGGATGTCTCCACTCTCAAATTCGACAAGTTCTAGTTTAAAACCAAATGAGACTAGAACAAACTCAATCGAACCAGATTATATCAGACTAAACTTAAACTAACCAAATTATAAAATCTCGATCCAAGTGAAAACACCATTAATCAAAAAGTGAAGTTGTTTTGAGATAATTTGACAAACATAACATAGGCATGCAAAGTAATTAGTTAAGAAAACCTGAATAACGAGAAACTTTGCATTCTGATCATGTTGTGGATAATATTGTGTGATTTTCGAAATGCCTTCACGAGAAAGCTGAAGCTTGTACTGTGTGGAGGCGTGAAAGAGGAGCAAGAACACATTCTTGAATCCAATCCCGAATTTCACGGAGACATTCCGCTTTCTCCAAAGCGCGTGGAACCCATCCCTGCGGGTTTGACACCCAAAGCAGACAGCAACTTTGTCCATTTCATGGGCATAAGACTTGGGTTCCATAATGTGGGTGCCCGCCAGTTCCTTAGCAGTCAAGAAAGAGGTACGATAATACAACTTGTGCTGTTTGGCCAAATTTATGATTTCTTCTGAGCTTTCACTAGTGCTGAATTGCACAATGGCGTAGGCTCTTGAAGCTCCTTTGGACATCTTCACCTCGAGGGCATAAACGCAGCCCCTTTTGGTGGTGTGCTTTTCAATCCATGTTTTGGCCGCCTCCGCTGATATCAGATGTGGGAACCCAAACACCTGAATTGTTCTTCCCACCATACAGATGAATTGCCTGCCTCTTCACTATTCTAATTAGTGGAGTTCACGTGCCAAATTTGTACGAAGTATATAGTTTGATAATGATAGTATTATAACGTTATTGTTGTTTTTACTATGCATTGGGTTTTGGGACTTACCTATCCTTTAATGTTCAACTGATATGGAGATTGGAGAATAAAATGAAAATATATGGAGATATCATAACAAGAAAAAGTGAGGTGTTGAGAGGATGTCATACATAGATATTGAGATAACATATTATATATTTGGAGAATTGGAGATTAGAGAGAGAAAGATAAAAGATCCAAGATAGCAAAGAGCAAGTTAAGTAATACGTAGTAGATGCTTTAATTCTTTCCTTAGCCTCTTAACTCATCTATGTTTTCTTCTTTTCTTGTGCTCTTTCCCTGTGTCTTTTACTTTGTAGTACTCCGTATTCCGTGGTATAATTATGAAAAAAAACCTTTTGTACACATTTTTTGACAGACAAAACACGTTTTGTTTGCGGCAGACAAACAAAAAGTCTTCACAAGCCTTCACATGCGTGTGTAAAAGTGTGTAAAACGTAAAATGTGTACAACAAGAATTGTTGTATTGGTCCCCATACTCCGTATTTGTTTAGTAGCTAGGCTCATTTGAGATGCTTATTATATGGTTAACCCGCCCCTGGTACCAGACATAGTGATGTGAGATTTCATTTTATGCAAGAGATACTCACAGAAGGTGGAGTACTAAACCAAAATATAAAAGATGACTTCACAGGTGCATTGACCAAGGTGGCGACCTTGCGACTTTATCAACATCATTAAAACTCTTCTCTATGTCGATGATCAATATCCACCAAGATAGATATTTCTAATTAGGTGTGATTTTCTTCCACACAATAATGGGGTCTGATGAAGAGTTCAGAGTTCTCCCATTCCTGAGATAATTCCCAAGTTGTAAATTATCAGCCATAGCTATAGGGGATAATCGTAAACTTTTTCATTTTACTTGTCCTATTTTTGTTCGATTCTAATTATGGAAGGTAATATTTTCCTGTTAAAATATAGTGGCTTAAATTATTCATACAAAATTACTACGTGTCACAAAGAATAAGTGTAAGGCAGAGCCTTTCAAAAAAAAAAGTGCAAGGCAGAGTGGTTTTAGATGGAGACCGTTTAAGACTCCTCCAACTAACTGAAAACTTTTCCTTAGCTTAACTTTTTGTACAAATTGGGTCTTCATATTTGGGAACCAGGACCGGCCGGAGCGGGACCAGAACCAGGACCGGATCAGGTCTGAGTCCATCCCTAGATGGGACTGTTCAAGACTCCTCCAACTAACTGAAGCATAACTTTTTGTACAAATTGTTCACACATGGCGCAAACTTACCCGATCTTCACAACAGGTAGGAGGGGCAGCTTCTGGAAAATGAGGGTAGGAAAGCAATTGAATGGACAGAGTTTGGTAGAGCATTTGTGAAAAAGCCGGTTTGACCCCCCAAAATGGGCATTTCTGTCGAAGAACAATATGATGAGTTTCTCATCTGCAGTTTACAAGTTACAACCCTTATACAATGAGGCTCACTTCATTTATAAGTTTATGTCATAGGTCTGAAGGAGAACATCCAAACATGTACAATACGCCAACCTTTCCTAATGCTTTGTCCGTGTGACATCCAATAATATCTGCTTTAATATCTAAGGAGTGTAGCAGAGTACGTGGGATCGCTTACACTGGATCAGCAATCTGTTTGCAGCTTGATACATAGTTTACATTATTCTAGAAAGAAGAATCAATGAGTTTGTCAATTATTATAGTACACGCACACACACATATGGGTTTGTCAAATGAGAACCCCCCGCCTCAAATGGGAAAAAAGAACTTTCTTATACTTTTAATCCCTACTATCTCATACGCTTTTTCCCTTTTATCATTCCACCTTCATTGATAGCAAATATTAGCCCTATATTTATGATCAAACTGTCACAAAAGAAAGTTCCTACTTCTCCTTTTAGGTGATCGTTCTCATTTGATATCAACTCTACACACACACATAATTACATGTATACTCCTTGGTGATCTGAAGATGGAAGGAACCAAAAGCTGAACTTCCAAACAACCTACTTTACTGGTACTTTACAATCAGTTCTGTTACTACATACTTCCTCCTGCATGCATGAAAATACCTCCTTAGTCTCCTCATGCATTAACATGAACAATATATGTGTCAAATATTTCTATATTCATCACACAAAGAATTAGTTGGACAAGCGACTGTAAGATTGTTATGGTTACTTTCAAATCCTCAAAGAGCTAGTAGTGTTGCAGGAAGGATAGTTTCTAACCTTGTTCTTCTTCCGCAATTCCAATTCTTCTTCTATTGGTGGTCGACCTGAATCACAAAATAAATGGTGGGGTTATTTGGTTAGTGCCAAAGCTCAATCTCCTTTTCAAAGGGGGTTGTAGATAAAATCTTGGAAAATCCACATGTGAAATCCGAAGGGTATCATTTCAAATAAAGGAACTAGGGCTACACATCTGGCGGGTTGGCTACTTGGCTATACTTTGTGGGCCTATCTGCTTTACTCGGGCTACCTGCTAAAAAGCCAGCATGTATGCAACTTGAATGGATAACCTGTATATGAATGGATCGGGAGAGTTGGGTGTAGAAAAAAAAATTACTTCGGGTTGAGTCTTTAATACAGCCAACTAATGCAGTCAAGTTTAGACTCGATCATTCTATTACTCAAGTTCATGATTGCATACCAAATACACAAAATTAAACTTTTTATACGTCTAATCTTTGTGTAACAACATCAAACCGTTCTTCCTAAAAAATAAATTCCTTTAGAAGCAAACGTAATAAATCAACTAGAAAAATGACAAATATTTGTAACTTTAATTCTTTAAATAGAGCATAGCAATGTTAAGCAATAAATAATCTAACAAAATATTGTAGCAAAGTAATAGGAAAATAAAGAAGGAAAACGTTTTCAACTTTCAAGGTGAAAATTGAAGGGAGTGTCATAACAAAGTGCCTTTATGTCGGTCAGATCGGATAACGTTGGTTTTGTGACTCCTATATCCGCAACCCTGCCCATTATGTGCAGGTTTATAGAAATTTAACACATCATTATTTTTTGGGGCCAAATAACTGGTTTATAGTCATAAATGGACGGATAGGGCTGGGCCAGGTTGTGCAGGTTGGGGCTATTTTGTGCAGCTCTATGAAAGGCTTCTAGATGAAACAACTTATTTAGTTTAGTGTGGCACCTTTATTAGTAAGTAAACCATACACACTGGCTGGCAGCATGGTTCAAATATAAGAAAACATTATATACCATTGGTAAATTTTATTTTAGTTCTGTTTAGGTAGGAACTAGGAACTCATGTGTTGATCACATGTCGATTAAGGCTTGGTTTTTGTTATTGTTATTGTTCGTTTGTTTAGGTAGGAACTAGGAACCCATGTAAGAAAAGTTAATTATTACCTGTAACTCGGAGCCGATATTTAGCCCAAACACCATAAACAGCATTTGCTATTGTTACAATCTGCAAATAAAATGCTTTTGCATTAGTACAGCTATAGAGATAACAAGACAACAATATTAAGATTCAAGGCCTTAGATGTTAGTTTGAAGGATGACTTATAAAGAACTGTAAAATTATTGCATGCAAACCACAACAATTGTTACATGTGCATTCATTCATTAAGATAGAAACTCACAGGCTCATATTTGGTTATTGCGTACACCCATCCCAGCCCAACTTCCTCATATAACTTTCTGAATGCCTGCATAATTTCAGTTCAAACCTTTTCAGCGTATGCAACAGCAGCTAGATATATAGCTTAACTGAAGAAACTTAAGAGCTTGTTTGGATCGAGAATTTGGAGAGGAGAAAGAGGGGTGATATTTATTTTGTCTAGATGGGTGAAAATATAGTGAAGATAAAAAGCTATGCATAAATACATGATCTGAGTAATTATATAGTTAGCTCTAATCTAAAATTAACAGAGAGAGAATTAGCAATTTAAAATTTAATGCTCCCCTGAACCAAACCAGCCCAAGAGGTTAAATTTTGAAACAGTTCCACATACAAAAAAACTGATAACATTAGGAATATAGGCTTACTTCGACATTAGTAACTACAGTTCCATCAGAGAGGATTGCATGGATGTTTCCCATAACCTAAACAAACAAGTATCCCGCATATTATTAAATACAATGTGTATTTTGTCAATAATGTGGTTCGCGGTCATCAGTCTCTTAGACTCGTATACCAGTATCTTCTTACATTATGCAATTAACTAATTAGTTGAATGTGCAGGATTGATTTTGAACATGCAAACATACTTACAGTTTTGTAGTCTAGCCCCATATTATCCTCTGGAGAGTAATCCTCGGAGCTTATGTCAACAAACTTGATAGTACCATACCTCTTGTTTCTTTCTTTCAACATATTCACCTGTTACGAAAGTAAATATATCCATATATATCCATAATGAATGAACATTTCAAATTTCATGCAAAACACATACAGTACGACCAAAAAAGAGCAGACCTCTCTCATACATAGTGGACAGTCTCCATCGTACAACATCTTAACCTTCCAGTTCTCAGGTCCTGATGATTCTCTTTCATCTCCTTTCCTAGGACTCACGGGATTCCCTGCCGCTTCCCTTATACCTCTTACTCCAAATTTAAACCCTACAATTTAACCATGTCCATCTATTGTTAATAATAAATTAAAAACTCCGCCATGAATTGATTCGACTTTTAAATCCCTTCCCAACTTTAGATCACTTGAAATCAAATTAACAATCGGTGTGTGGATTATATAAATGAAAATATAAAAATGAACAAACTTGCTAACACTTACCTGGAGGTTGAGGAGTCGAAAATGAAGTGAAGCTCAGAGAAGAAGCAAGGCGAGGAAGAGGAGGATGTAGTTGCAGACATCGAGAAGGAATCAATCTCAGAGATGAGCATCTTTGCCTTCCTTCAATAATACGAAACACAGCTTTGAAAGCCATTGCTTCTTTCTTGCTTAAGCCCGAGATCCCAGAGTTTTGTTGGGGACGGTTATTTTATTACAACGACCATGCTTACGTGGCTGCACCAGCTTCAAGCCTTTTAAAAGGCAAATTATACCGACCGGCACACACAGTTTTTGCAATTAAAATCGTTTCTCTCATTCATCACACACATCTTTCTTCTCCAACACCCTTTCCAGGCAATTACTAACGCAAGGTTTCCTCCCCAATTTTTTATTCTTCCCATACTTCCAAGGGTGAGGCGCATCCCACATCCCATTCACCCTCGCCTCTTTCTCCGACTTCTTCATCCGCAACAAGAAATCTGTGTACCTCACCCCTGCTTCCCACTTCAACTTCTCGCAATATCCCAACCCTCCCATCGCCTTTTCCATCATCTAATCATCTCACAAACAATAAACAAATTCAATTTATCAATCATCATAACTACCTCACCATTCACCAAACACTAGCTAGTTTCTTCTCCAAATCGAATTTCTTTATGTGAGAAGCAAGGAAGCATATTTTATGCAAGTATATGGAGTGCGTGTATATATATGTATATATAGAAATGCAGAGTATGTATATATAATAATTAATACATGAAGTTAAATCTCTGTAAAAACGTTTTACATTTCAACAGTCTACATTTTACATTTCAACAGTCTAAAGTTACATATCCCAAGTTACATCTAATTTGTTTCCAAGTTACATTTCAATTAATGCAGTTTACATTTCATTGAGTTACATGTGAATGAATGTAATTTACATTTTGGTTAACTTGAAGTTACATGTGTAATCACACGAGTTACATCTCATATAGCAATGGGTGCATGGTGCTCACCCTGCATCGATTGCACGGTATAAGCACTCCTTTCAAAACGCTTCATTTTTGCAGAAGTGGGACTGGTAAAGGCGAGTCCTGTTTTTGCACAAGTCGAACATCACCCCCTACTTTCTTTGGTTGCCATTTGGCATACTAATTAATTTTGAGAAAATTACTCAACGTAAACATAAACATAATGTACAAATATGAGTTAAACTTAACTTTCTTCAACAACAGAAATAAACATTAATTTTCTTCTTTTAATACTCTTAATCTAATTTATTCTAAAATATGACTAATTTGATCCTATTAAAATATAAAATTATTCTAAAATATTTTAAAAAAACATTTAAATAATAAAAATTAAAAAAATTAAAAAAATAAAAAGCTATAAAAATAAATAAAAATAGATAGAATACATTAAAAATATAAAAAAAATATGGAGGTCTTTCCCGCAACCTCGGCCACCACCTAGCAATGTCATCTCCAATCGGCGAAAAATGTCATTTTATGTAAAAATTGTCATTTTTTTTGAAATGTCATAAAGATGGCATTTTTATTCTCGAAAAATGTCATCATGGTGACATTTTTAATAAATATTGGCATTTTTCTGGTGGTCGGAGCTGGTGGTGTTGAGAGGTTGTTGAGCCTGCAGTAGAGGCCTGCATATTTTTTTCATTTTTATTTATTTTAATTTTTTAGTTTTTTATTTAATATTTTTTATTTTAATAATTTTTTTTATTAATTTTATTTAGTACGGGATACATATTTTTATTATATATTTTCGTGTTTTCATTTTTTTTACAATTTTATTATAAATTAAATAATGTTATTTCTTTTATACTTTAATTATTAATGAAAGTGGTTCAAACTTGGGGCTTGGGTAGGGGTATATTTGTCCAAAAATTAAAGTTACTCCTATTCAAAACATGATACCTCTATTTTTGCATTTTGTCTATGTTCCTATTTGGGGAATTCACCCATTAATTTTTTTTTCTTAAAATTGCTAAACCTCATATATTTGTGGTCCAAATTTTATAACATATATATCAGATCTAATAATTTTGTATGATTTATCAAATGGTATCAATATTCTATATATAAAAATTGAAAAAACAAAATTTTTTTATAAACGTTTATTTTTATCGGGCTTTTTTTTTTTTGAAAAATCATATTGAGTTTCTTTAATGTTCTTTTTATATTGAGTTTAAATTGTCATTTAGTTATGCATCAAACCCCCATTTTGGGGTACTTAAAAATTGAGCATTTAAGTGATTTTGAAGGATTACAAAACCTTTCAAAATCATTCTTCCACATTTTTTAAACTCCCAAATGGCCAAAAACAAATAGGGGGATCATTAGTTGTCACATGTCTTTCCCTCCCCTTCAAAACAATTCTCAATCACACTTTAAGTGTATGTTTGAGAGTTTGTGGGGAAGAGAGGGGAAGACCTTGAAGGTAAATTGTTGGAAGGGGGAGGGAGGAAAGGTGAGGAAACCCTTATTTAGGAGTAGTAAGTTTGGAAAAAGAGGATCTTAAAAAGGGTTATAATTAAAATCATTTAATTAGTTTAAAATAGGATCTTAAATAGTTGAATTGATATTTTAAATTTATATTCATTTTAAATTTAGTTTAAATTATCATATAGTTAGTTATCCTTCAAAATCTTTCATTTTGAGGAACTTCAAAATTGAGTATTTGAAAGGTTTTGGAGAGTCACAAAACCCTTCCAAAATCATTCTTCCACATTTTTTAAAACACTACCAAACACAAATAAGAGAGTCATCAACCTCACATGTCTTTTCTTCCCTCTCAAACACCAACTCCCAAACACACCCTAAAGATAAAAATCTAATATCACATTTTCAAATACAACCAAAATGCTTTCCACCCACAAGTGATACGTAGTACCGAGTACGTAGTATTCTTTAGCCGAACTCTGTGAGACCTTTTCTCAGAGGTTGTAACATTGTGTAAACAACTAGTTGAAGCAGTTAACTGAGCACAAGTCCACTCCCTCAAAAATCTTCAATAAAACTTGATCATCGATGCTTTTTATTTTTACATAATGTTTATAACCAAAATCTAGTCTACAAGTCTACAACCCTTCGAAACTTCCATTGGCAAAACCATGTGGCTATTGCTACAACATTGACAATTCCACTGGAAACAAAGAACATAAACATTCCTTAAAAGGAGCTTCAAGTGTGTGGAAAAAATAACCATAAAATTCTTGTCTCATTGTCCAGTCAACTTATAAGTTATAGCAGCTTCTCTGCAATTTGAACAGCATTCAGTGCAGCTCCTTTACGAATTTGATCACCACAAACAAATAGGTCCAACCTTTTCAAAAGCACAAAGTAGTGTGGTTTTAGCTCCAAAAAATGTAATAGGAAAAGTATATACATATTATATATACACACACATGCATACGCATAAAGAGAGTATGATGTAAACAGGAGAGTCAAGTATTAATTCATTTGGAGGCAAAAGAAGTGAACAATTGTTGTGTTAATGAAGTAGAAACTCATACTATTGAATTTAGTTGATCGGATATTACTTATATGGTAATAAGCAACAATCTTTATAACCTCATATTTTTAAAAGTTTCATAAAAATAAAAATATTAGAAGTATCATTTTCATATAAAAAAATTTTGTAAAATTTTGAGAGGGTAATAGATAAGAACTTTTTTTAAAGTAGTTTTTTAAACCAAATGGGAAACCACAATGGGATAAGTATTGGGTGTCACTTACCAGTTTTTATTCAAAAAAAACATATATTTTGTAACCCAAATACATGCATAACTGCAAATGAAAACGTTATACTCCCTCCGTCCCATAAAATTCTTCCCGGTTTGACTTGGATCGGAATTTCAGAAATTGGGAATAAAGTGGAAATGTATAGTTATAGTTGAGTTGAAAAAAGGTAAATGAATGTTAGGCACACAAAATTTTCCAAAAGGAAAAATGGGAAGAATTTTTTGGGACATCCCAAAAAGGTAAGTGCGGAGAATTTTATGGGACGGATGGAGTACTTTCACGTCTTCTTGAGTAATAATATTACCGTTTTTTATTTATGTAAAATGATATGGCTAATACTGATTCATTATTTTCTAGATAAATATTAATTCCATAATTTCTATATATTTTAATCTTTATACATTCATATTCTTTACACACAAACTGGTGAAGAGAGATATTATAGAATAAATAATTTCAATTCTGGATAGGACGTATTAAGAATTTAAACAGCATAATGAACTCTCGTCCTCGACACACATTGTTATTCATAAACGGCTAAATGTTTTTCTATGGTAATTAAATATATTAAGTACTAGAGATATAAAGAAAGTAATTTATAGATTAGTCATTATTATAAAAGTATATTGATTACTATCATCTTCATCAGACAAAAAAGTCAAGAATAGAAGAATGTTCATTTGGTAATTTTATACGTAGTAGTTAATGTGTCTACAACAATTACCATATATATAGTCCTAATACGTTTATATTGTGTTTTCAGTTTTTAGACAATTATTACGTACAAACACATTACGCATGAAACAAAAAAAATCGGAGAAAAAATAGTTTTATATGTATCCCTGCAATGCAAGAGTTGATTGCCTTGTGTGTGTGTATATATAAGAGTTTGGTAACTGTTTTAATTTACCCAAAGTCACCGTCTTGTGAAATGTCACGGCGAATCCTCCCAACGGCAACATCATCTTTGTTGGAAACTGCCAATGGTGTGGGGAAGCTATTTGCAGCACGATCATCAATGACCACTATACCTGGCGCACTCTTAAGAATATCCTTTGCAGTCTCCTGCATATAATTATGATGATTAAGAAAAGTACGTCAGAATCGCTAAATTGTTTGAATAGTAAGACCGGAATTGTTGTTTAGCCTATGAAATATATGAAACATCCCAGACCCAATGACAAGCAGATCCCAAGGAAGTGAAGAAACTTAGATGATTCATTTTACCTACCTTGATGATTATTTGTTTAATCATCCAGTTCTTTCATTTATTTAGCATTAATGATTGGAGACTGACGTTTCCCTAGTACTTTTCAGAAAAGAATTCGCATGGAACCATAATGTACTTATGTACTCATTCAAAAAAAGGCCACAAGAGGTATCAGTACAAAATGAGGGCAATACACAAAAAGCATGTTCGAGTACATGTTTTACAGGGACATAAATATATATGCAATTAGAAGCACATTATCGGAGACCCTAGCTTTAAAGTTTAAACACAAACTCAACAATCAATTAAAGATTTAAAGGAAGCTTTTCCACCGCCTTAGACAAGCAGTCACAACAACAACAACAACAACAACAACAACAACCAAGCCTTAATCCCAAAAGAATTTGGGGTCGACTAACATGAATCGAACTATGATATCGATGTCAAAAAGAGAAGGCGGACAAGAAAAGGAAAAAAAGTAAGATAAAATGAATAAAATAAAGATACATTAATATAAGATAACAATAACACAAGAATATAACCAAGATAAAAGAAAAATAAATAAAAGAGCATAAAAAAGCTAGAAGATAAAAATAACATAAGAATATAAAAATATAAGGAAGATAAACGATAAAAGAAACAAGAGAGGAAAGGTAGACAAGACATCAATCGTCCACATGGATGTGCGCCCTCCACTTTGCTCTCTCCAAAGCCATACTCTCATCCAACCCAAGAAGACGCATATCAGTTCTAATTACTCTAATCCAAGTCTGTTTGGGTCTTCCCCTCCCTCTCTTCTCTGACTCTTCTCTCCACCCCTCAAATCGTCTAACAGGTCATCACCCGGTCTTCTATGCACATGCCCAAACCACTGCAAACGAGACTCCTGCATCTTATCTTCTATAGGTGCTACTCCCACCTTTTGTCTGATTACCTCATTCCGAGGGCGGTCTTTTCTGGTATGTCCACACATCCAACGCAACATACGCATCTCTGTCACACTCATCTGTTGAATGTGGCATTGCTTCACCGCCCAACACTCTACGCCATACATTAATATCGGCCTAATTGTTGTACGATAAAATTTACCTTTCAGTTTAGTCGACATACCTCGATCGCATAGAAATCCTGAAGCACTTTTCCATTTCATCCACCCAGCTCTGATTCTATGACATACATCTCCATGTAATTCACCATCCTTCTGAATTATGGATCCCAAGTAACGGAACATATCACACACCGGTATCTCCTTACCATCAAGAGTAATCCCACTATTGCTATTGCTTCTACCTCCACCGAACTTGCACTCCATATACTCAATCTTGCTTTGGCTCAGTTTGAAACCCTTGCTCTCCAATGTTTGTCGCCATACTTCCAACTTTGCTTTAACACCGGATTGTGTCTCATCAATCAATACAACATCGTCGGCAAACATCATGCACCACGGTATATCTTCTTGAATTGACTTCGTAAGTTCATCCATGACTAAAGCAAATAAGAAAGGACTCAGAGCAGATCCTTGGTGCACTCCAATAGTAATAGGGAACTCTGTGGTCCTCCCTACACTAGTGCGGACACTTGTAGTACAAGCATCATACATATCCATGATGATGCTGATATACTTACGTGATATGCCTTTTCTAGTTAAGGCCCACCAAAGAACTTCTCGAGGTACCCTATCATATGCCTTTTCTAAGTCAATGAACACCAAATGCAGATCCTTTTTAGTGTCTCTATACTTCTCCACAACTTGTCTAAGAAGGTGAATGGCCTCAGTTGTTGAGCATCCAGGCATAAAACCAAATTGATTCTCCGAAATTTTCACACTTTTACGTAGTCTTTGCTTAACCACTCGCTCCCAAAGTTTCATGGTGTGACTCATAAGCTTAATCCCTCGATAGTTAGCGCATTCTTGTACATCACCCTTATTTTTAAATAAGGGAATGAGAGTACTCTTCCGCCAACTCATTGGCATTTTGTTGTTTCTCCAAATCATGTTGAAGAAACGTGTTAACCACTCGATGCCTTTCTCTCCCAAACTTCTCCAAGCCTCGATCGGTATGCCATCTGGGCCCACTGCTTTCTTCCGGCCCATTTTTCTCATAGCCTCTTTAACTTCTGTTGTTTGAATCCTTCTCACGAAGTCCCTATTTACCATACACTCTGGTATAGTAAGATCATCAATACCTTGGACTTTATTCCCGTTGAACAAGGTATCAAAGTATGACCTCCACCTCTCTTTTATTTCTTCGTCGGCCATTAATACCCTTTGATCGACATCCTTCACACACTTAACTTTTCCGATATCTTGAGTCCTACGGTCACGAAGGCGAGCAAGTCTATAAATATCTTTTTCTCGTTCCTTAGAATCCAACTTTACATACAATTCCTTATTCACTTTTCCTTTGGCTTCCTTCACAGCTTTCTTTGCTCTTCTTCTAGCCTCTTTGTACTCCTCTATGTTCTCGTCGCTCCAACTTTTTCCCAATTTCTTATAGCATTCTCTTTTGGCCCTTATTGCTTGTTTCACCTCATCATTCCACCAAGATGTGTCCTTTTTTGGTGGCAGACATCCTTTAGATTCTCCGAGTATCTCCTTCGCCACTTTGTTAATGGTGGACTCCATTGATAACCACACATCATCCACGTGTGCGTCATTATCAATAGACCAAACATCTTCCTCCAACATTTTGTGTGCAAAACTTTGTTGGAGATTCCCCTCGAGGCTTAGACAAGCAGTGTTCTTTTAAAAAAATCAATCTCTAGTTATTCATATGTTGGCAAAAAATGATCAACCCAATACAAAGATTAATATAGTCATTCACTCTTTCAAGACCCAAACCCTTTTTCTTACAACTCTAAATTCCTATCTCAAATGCTTTTCTGTGCTTTGATCATCTGCTTCTATTTTTTCGTGGAAGAGAGCACAAATTGGGGGGTTTGAAAATCAATTACATTTTTGTCCTTATATTAACCATATGTTAATACTAAAACTAATGATGGACTAAAAGTGACACAATCAATATTGAAAAACAAAAAATGTTGAATTTAAATGTGGGGACTGGACGTGGAAAAGCCACTATCATCTGAGGAGAAAAATGGTATTAATTCAAATAGGAATATCCACTTTTTTGAGTATCCAATATTTTATGAAGCATCTCTGTGACATGTTGAAACAGTTTGACTATCAAACCTAATTGAAACATGTTACATGTTGATGCATAAAACTGTGCAGATACATAATCAGAAGTCAAATTAAATCAAAGTTCCATACTTCCGTGTAAAACACTAGACTTCAAATCCATTTATGTACACACAGTTACTAGTCAATGCAGCTGGATGAAAACATACCAATACTCTGCACGCTCAATAAAAATTATAGCCCATTACCATTCTCAAATTAAATTGCCAGCAAAACTTGAGTAGCGATATCATAAACTAAACCTAATAAAGATAGTACCTCATCAAGTGGTTTCTCGAATTGAATATTCACACTTTCTGCATGAGCACGCATAACAGGGACTCTTATACATGTTGCTGTTACTTTAACATCCATATCATTCTACAAAGGAGTTGAAATGTTTGTTCAAAGAAGAGGCAATATGGATTAGGGGCATAGTGCAGATAAAGTATTAGCCCAGCTGTTAAACAACAACCCCTTACCCATATCTTCCTTGTCTCTTTTACCAACTTCATCTCTTCTTCATTGTATCCATTTGATTGAATAGATGCATTGTGTGAGAAAAGGTTGAAAGCATACTGCAATATGTTTAATTAATTTGTTGATGCAAAGCAATATCTTCTGTCAGATAATAGGTGGTGTATAGCATACAAAAGACGAAAGTCATAAAAACCTGCTGCTTGAAGATGTTACATGTTGGTTCTTTCCCTTCCAAGACCTATTTCAGAAATGGAAGCACTCAGGACCATTTCACAATGCCTAACGAAAACATTTTTCTATAGAGATTTTATATATAAAGGAACATTAGGACAAGACAATAGAAAACCTCACGAGTCTGCTGAACAAGCTCTTCCATGGCAGCAGCACCAGCACCACTGGCAGCCTGGTAAGTGCTAATCACCATGCGTTTAACCTGTGACAAGATGAAGAACATGCATATAAATTTAATAAGTGATTTCCTCTTATCTATGGGAAATATAAGATCAGTATGATATCTTTTGTGAATTTTAAATAAGTCTCCAAATGCGATGGTTGGTTGAAAAGCTATGACAATGCAGAAAAATAGATGTTCAAAAACTATAGTTTTAAAATGAGGGATAAAGACGGATGCATGATGCATACTGCAGAATATACTCTTATTAGCAACTTTGTAAGACAGATTAGCAATAGTTAAGAAAATAAGCCTTGACATAATAATAACAGAGGAGAGATACATCATTATTGCAGTCCTCTAAGATTCAAGAGTCTGCCTTTTCATAAGAGCTACCAACTGATACAAGCAAACCCCAAATTTAAAGTTCTCAAATTTATGAGTAACTTACCTAAATATGACCAACACACATTTTCCCTTAGTATGATCGTTACAATCATCTTTCTATCTTTGCCAACATTTTAATTTAATGATCTTTTTTATCGATGACCAAATAAGTATTTTTTATAAATAAAAGCATGATGGGCATACTTAGATATAGTGGCTACATTTTATTACACCTTAATATTTAGGACAATTATTTCCATTTTTGGTGTGACAAAGAATAACATGTCCAGCCAAATTGTCAGTATCAATTATTTAGAAGTTACTCTATTGTGAAATCCAAGGGCAGAACTGAGCATAGTCTAGTGGTGCAAATTTGTCGGTGGAGGGGCAAGAAAGCCAACTGATCCATAGAAAACAACTTCAGATTATTCAGTAAAGAAGGAGGGTGCCATAAAATAATCGAGAACTGCGCTCAATTTGAAGAACAGACAAAGAGATAGAAGCAGAAATAATGAAACATAGGAAGCAAAGATAGAAAAGCATACAGCTTTTAACGACTGGCCATTAGGTCATCACTCTCACCTTAGCCCGTTGATGAAGCGGTGTAGCAGCCATTAAGCAAATGATGGTGGAACAATTGGGGTTGGCAATTATCGCTCCCTTCCCAGACCCAATCTTGATATGCGCCATGGCCTCTGGATTAACCTCCGGGATCACTAGTGGCACGCCATCGTCCATCCTAAAAGCAGAGCTGTTATCCACTACAATGGTCCCCTTCTCGGCCGCAATAGGGCCAAACTTCTTGCTGATGGACCCACCGGCGCTGAACAAAGCAATGTCGATACCTTGGAAGCTATCTTCATTCAGCTCTTCAACAGTGTACTGCCTCCCTTCGAAGGTGAGGCTCCTCCCCGCAGAGCGCTTGCTGGCGAGAAGCGTGAGGGAGCGGTACGGAAAGTCGCGATCGGAGAGGACGGAGAGGAATTCCTGGCCCACGGCGCCAGTGACGCCTACGATTGCAACGGAGGGGGCACCTTCACGAAGAGACATGCGAACGCGGCAGGGCCGAGTTTGGGAGGCGGATGAGAAAATAGGAGAGCGGGAGGAAGGGACGGATGCGGTGCTGGAGAAGCATTGGTGGTGGCGGAGAGAAAGAGTCGAGAGCTTCATTGTGATATGCGCGGCGGCGGAGACTGGGAGTATGGAGGGTTTAAGGAGAAACGGAAAATCAGGCGGGCAAAATAGAGATGGAAGGAAAAGTGGATGGCGTGTTCCTCGTTACTGAGCGAACCAACCGTCCTAAACTAATTTCAATTGTGGACCTAAAGGCCAAACATTATGATCATCCGTACTTAGTGTTGTCTTTGTGTTTGGTGGTTCTATTTGGGTTTTACTTTTCAAAAATTGTTTAGGTACACTCTGGCAGAGCTATACCCTATATCATCTTTCATTTCTTTTTTTTTTGATAATCCAGGTGTCGGGGCTAACGCTCCCATAATCCTGGAGTCTATGAACTACCTTCCAAAGCCCCTAGACAGTTAAGTCCGGATCTGATCACAGTCAGCCTCGTCAGTACTGACTCCAAAGGACGAATCCAGCAGGACTTACATCACCTTTCAGGCTGCTCCTCCCACCACACGAACCCGCTACCTTCATTATCATCCTCTCCCTTCTCAGCCGCTGAGCAACTCCGTGAAAGTAGGAAGAATCATTGGGAGCAAGACCTCCCTCCTCTCCCCTAAATGTGCATAGCGGGATTCGAACCCGAGACCTTCGATAGGACACGGTAACCTTCCACCCAGTGAGCTGGAATGGTTGGTTATATCATCTTTCATTTCTTATTTTCCCTTGTTCCGCTTTTTTTTTCTCCCCTCTCTCCCCTTTGCACCGTACAAATCCCCCTCCCCCTCTCTTTCTTCTTCCTTTCTCATTTCTTCTTCTTTCTTCTTTTTCTTTCCATTCTATCTTTTTCTTTCTTTTTACATTTTATTCACCTTCATCATATTCATCTTCATCTTCTTCTTTCTTTCTTCTTCTTTATCATGTTCTTCTTTTCTCTTCTCTCTTTTTCTTTTCCTTTTACGTTTTATATGAGGAATATTTTGTTTAGTCCGAACTGACCAGACCGTCGTAAGGTTAATCCCGTTTGAGTGCCTTTTGGATTGGCTTTTTTAATGAAATTTTGTGAGCACGTTTTTCATAAAATGTAAAACATTCACATAAAACTTCATCAAAAATTTCAATTGGGAGTCAGTTAAATAAATTCTTTAAAAACACTGCACAAACATATGCATAAAAATCCCAGTGTTCTTCAACAATTTATTTAACTGTTTTCAAATTGAATTTTAAGCTGAAATTTTGAGCGAATATGATACACTTCATGATGAACATGTTCACAAAATTTCATCAAAAAATGTAACTCGGAAAGCCCTCAAACGGGCTTGGCCACAAAGCGGTTTCTGGTCAATCCGAACTGACCAGAATTTTTTTATTATATATATGTGTGTGTGTGTTTGTATTTTAATATATATAAAAATTTAAAAATAAAATCAAACTTATAATTTTTTCATTACATTCAATTTTTTATTCAACATCTACGAACTACAATTCTAAAATTTTGAAACATCTATACCAGAATTGTTTGTGAACAAATTTCACACGTTAGCGCATAAATGTCAATATTTTCTTCTACTTCTCTCATGTAAACTCATGATTCATTGATAGTATTTTGCTAATTTTTCCATTCTCTCGTGTAAGTGAAAGATTAAATTAGCATACCCAGGATTTAGAAACTTGCAATTTGTTTTAGTCTAGTGAAAATGTGAATCAAAATATGAAAATTTTACTCCATAAACGATATAACTTTCGCGTCTTTCCCCAATTCAAAATTATGTACTATTAACAATTGTTTTACTTTTCCATTGAGCTGTTTTGGTACATGGTATTCTTGAATGTCAATTATCAAATACTTAAATATAATCTCTCTAACCGTTCTTTATTAATTTCTTTGATATGTTATACTCGTATTTGAATGAAAAAATGCTTAAATATACTTAATTATAGTTTTTTATAAACAAATATAAAAATTCACATGTTGTCCTTAAGGCCTACTCTATATGTATCGCCCCGGGTCCATAAAATGTCAGGACCGGGCCTGCGTTTTATTAGCTAAGTTTAGAAACAATTCCTTTGAATTATTGTTGTTCATCACCATCTTCTTCTTCTTCTTTAATTCTTTCTTTTTACGTTTATGCACACCGACACTGGTTTGCTTCCGATGTCTGTATACACAGATGAAAATTGTATATGTACAGACACTTTTGTTTCTACACAGACAACTAATGTCTGTGTACACCGACACTTGCAAACCAATTTTTTCACACTGGCACTTTTTTGTCTACACAGACAACTAATGTCTGTGTACACCGACATTGGTTTCCGTGCAACCAGCCTAGCAGGTCTGAAAATAATTTTATTTACACTGACAGTTTTATCGAAAGTGTCTGTATTTGTACGTTTTTTGTTTGTGCGAATGACAAATAAATAGGGTGTAACTCAGGTCCCAGGGTGTACACCAAGAATTACTCTTTTACATTTACTAACAAGACCCCAAAGTTAAATCTACTATCAATTTTGGGACTTCAAAGATAATTTTAATCAATAAAGGACCTCAAACATCGTGAAGTCGTAAACTATTGTTTCAGGACTCGGCAATTTAAGAGTGTTAGTTTATTACTAACGGTATAGTGATGTGGCACCACATATATTAAAAAAATAAATACAATCACGAAATTGTCACGTCTCCCGTTTCATCTTCTTGGTTCACCGACATCTCTATCTTCCTTCACATTTTTCAGACCCGTGAAACACCATTGTCGTCACCTCATATCAATCTTCCAAATCAAAAACAGCCTGAGATTGCTAAATCTTCCAAGCTCACTCATCTAACTTCATCCAACTACTCAAATCGGCTTGTTTGGATGTTCAAATAACAAGAGAAACATATCATGAAGCTAAGGAGAACACACATCAAAACTCCACTTGCTGGTATTTTTTGCATTAGCATCTTGAAATATTTGATATCTGGGCGAATTATTAGTGGATTAAGTTAAAGGTGCCTAGTTTTTTCACGAGAAAAGGGTTAAATAAGACCTTCTACTATTATGAAATAGTCAGATAAGGTCACGAACTCAATAAAGTGTCATATAAGTACATCTACTTCTAAATAGCAATCAAATGAGTCCTAATGACCTATTTAACACCTCTTAATCCCGATTTTAATGTACTTTTGACCATCTTTTTAGGATACATTATACGACATATGTCGAATATTTAACTAAGATTGGTTGAAATACAAGTCAAAAAAATCGACATGTAAGCTAAAATCAGGATTAGGAGGTGTTAAATAAGTCGTTAGGACTCATTTGATTGCTTTATACAAGTAGAGGTACTTATATGACACTTTATTGAGTACATGGCCTTATGTGACTATTTTGTAATAGTAGAAGGCCATATTTGACCCTTTTCTCTTTTTTCACAGTTTTGTTTCCGATTTTTTTGTAAAGCTACAGAGATAATCTGATTAGAAAGTATAAAAGTTTACATAGTGAGATATAGAAACCTCATCCGGTAGAGTTTGTTCTTTAAAACCCGTAGGTCTAGTTTATTCTTTAAAACCTCATCTATGAATTTCTTATAATGTAAAATTGAGTTGCCCATTTGAGAAACCTGCAAGCTACAGATTGGGAGAAAGGAAGAGTCCCTAATTTTCAGACTTTTTACTTCATCATCTAAGAGTAGTGATTTTGACAATATCAATGATCTGGAAATATGTTTAGTACTTGCAAATTGAAACAAAAACTCTATCTGAACTTCTTAGAGCACTTTGATTTAGTGACTTCATAGGGAGCGGAGGATCATTTTTGCATCTTCTTATTTTGTATTTGGATTAATTTTCATGATTGTGTAGGTGAAATTTATTTTGAAGAGGTTTATGTTTTTGCTCTATATGATGGTCCCGCATAGAGGTGAAAGTCTAGGGGGTGAATAGACTTTCAAAGCTTTTTCGACTTTGAAAACTTTTTCCCTTCTAGATGAGTTGATCTATAGTCTTTTGAGAGATTTATAGATGCACATCGGAAGTCTTTAACCTCTTTGTATTCAGTGTGAAGCAACTTTCTAGTTTGGGTGAAATTTGGATTTTATGCAGTGAGCAGTTGGCTTGGCAGTTGCCTGGATGGCAGGGAACTGCTGAGGCAACTGCTACTAGAAAATGGGAGTTTGGGAAAGATGATTATGTAGCTTTGTTTAGAATGACGAGGGCTTTCTGAAGATGTACTGAGCTGGAGATAATAAGGTGTTTTGCTTACGCAGAGGTCTAAGCAGTTGGGTAGACCCAGGAATCTGCTAAGGCATCTGGGGCTTATGAAAGATGTATTTCTGAGAAAATGCAAATTGAACCTTTTAGTAGTGATGTTCCAAGGCTCTTGTAAAACAGTTATCTCAGGAAAAGTAAGTTATTTAGCAGTAGGATAAGCAGTAGAGTCAATTAAGACTACTGCTTAGGATGCTGTTGGCAAACCATGATCCCTTTAGTGAGAAGTGTTGGGTGTGTGCTTTGTTGATTGAAAGTAAATCAACACACAGTATATCCTTGTTCAGCGGTGGTGTAATCCTCCTACATCTAGTCCCACCCTATTTCAGATGGATTTTACTAAAGTATTAAACCCAATACACTCAGTGCCAATCTAGCCTTAACAACTCTGGCCTAGATTCAAGGTGTTTCACGAGGAGTACAACACCACTCCAAGATACTCAATCCTTTAGGTTTTTCTCAATTGATTCAGTGGGGATCAAAAGGTACTCCTGGCCTATCTAACCACACTCAGGCCGGGAACAACTGTCCTCCTGAGTGTTTACATCAATTTGTGAAATATTACAAGAAAGTTCTAACCTCCCATTAGGAACTAAACTTCTAGGATTTAGCAATGAATACTTGTGACTAAGAAGTTTAGTGAAGCATGAGTCCAAGCAGAGAGTAAAGTTAAGTTCGCACTTTCTCTTTTGCTAGATAGCGTGTATATGCTTAATGGAAGATTTTCTCTACTTAGGATGCTCGAATGCTTGGTTAGAAACTTTCGTTTCAGCCTATATTTATAGGCAACTCCGGTTGATTAATTTCATCTGTTGGTTAGGATGAGTTTAATCATGTTCGTTGATTCCTTATTTCATAGAAGTTAACATGTTGTTTGTCTTCTTTTGCTGGAGCCGATATCTCTTTTGTTTTTGTTAGCCACGGCAGACCTAGGTTGTATCCCATGCTTTGGGTCCCTGTACTTT